AGTTTATATCTGCATAGCCCAATGTGGTAGTCATTTAGCTACCATGTGGAGTGGCCATAGAGCGCTTGAGCATGGCTAGTTAAGCAAAAAAAAAAAAAAAAAAATATCTGGACACTCTACATTCCTCCTATAAGTGAGACCATCTGGTATTTCTCTTTTTCTTTCTGGCTTATTTCACTGAACATGATCCCTTCCAGCTCCATCCATGTTGCTGCAAATGATGTGAGTTTATCTGTTTTGATTGCTGAGTAATATTCCTTTGTATATATATGCCACATCTTCTTGATCCAGTCATCTATTTGGGAGCATTTGTGTTGTTTGCATAGCTTACCTCTTGTAAATAGTACTGCAAAAAACATAGGGGTGCAGCTGTTCTTTTGGTTTTTTTTTTTTTAAGATTTATTTATTTATTTATACAAGCACTGGGTACAGTCAGAATTGCGGGAGGGTGAGAGAATTCACCAGAGCCAGAGCTGGGAACAGAACAGGCAGAACTACAAAATACACTGCTGAGGGGAGCAGTGCGTACGTCAGGAGAGGTCTGTGAGCCATGTGGGACCCTCACCAGTGGCCAGGGATCAAACCGGAGCTGCAGAGGCTGCAGACAGCTTCGCAGCCCAGCGCTCAACCGCTGCGCCCCCAGGGGAGGCCCTGCAGGTGTTCTTTTGGATTAATGTTTTTGTGTCCTTTGAGTAGATACCTAGGAGAGGAATTGCTGGATCATATGGAAGCTCCATTTTTAAAAATTATAATAAAGTAAAAATCAAAATCAACAGGCTATTATGACACAGAGACATTCTGCAGGGGGAGAAGGGAGTAGGATCAAAACAAGGGTGGGAAACGCACACAGGACCATGGTGATAGATCACAGGTGAATGAGTGGTGGGAATTTCACAGTGACTATAACCGAGGTGAAAATGCATACATTGGACAAAAATGAAAAATGATGTAAAAATATATAAAATAAAATTTAAAAAATAAAGATTTAAAGCAGTAGTAAGAAAAAAATCTGTTTTTTTAATTTTATCTTTATTAAATTGAAATTAAAATAGCCACATGTGGCTAGTGGCTGGCACATATTGGACAGTACAGCTTTAATAGACCAATCCCGTCCCTGTCTCCTTATGCCAGAATGTCTTTTGTGCTCATTGTTGGCTATCCAACATTCAGTGTAAGGACCGATATGTAAGTCCTCAATGAATTTTAAACTAATTTTAACTTTAAAATTAATGATAGTCCTTCAAGAGCACCTTTCTTTCTTTAAATGAAGCCCCAAAGGTCTTGGTTTTTAATGATATTGTTCCCCATTAAAAGATCCAGAAGTCAAACTCTGGGTACTGTTGTAACATAAAATGCTGTCAAATCATCCACTTTTATAATTGCTTTTATGAGATTCAACTCAACATTCTGCTTCCATCCTAATCAATTGTATCTCTTTAGTGTCTGTCTTTTCATTATGCTGAGATGGATTTGGATCCTGTCCCTCCCAGTTCCAACATATTTGGTTGGGTTTTTGTTTTTTTGTTTTTTGTGGTTTAATTTTTTTGGCCCACACAGCTACCTGTGGCTTATGATACCAGCTAAGACTTGTCTAATGGGGAAGCTTAAGAGTCAGACCCCAGAGATTTGTTGTCTTCAGACATGGGCTTTTTGTTTTATTTTGTTTTCTGGTTCAGTTAAAGTCAAGTCCTTGGCTATTTTGGGAAGACGGAAGGCTAGACTTTCATTATTATGTGAAATTACCCCAAGGCTTTGTTTGAATTGCCTTTGTTTAGCAATATTCTCCTAACAGTTTTAAAAAGCAGTTTTAAAAGATCACTTGGTAAGATCTCCTTTGTATGCAGATAAATGTTAAAAGAATCTATTTAATTTCTTCCTAATTAAAATACTCTGCATTCTTTTATCTGCCCAGAAATTAAAGCATGTGTGTGCTTGTGAATTTGCTAGTGAAAGGATAAAATAATGTTAAAGAAAAATGAAAAATATTCCTCTACTCAGGTACTGTAGAGTAGGAAGTTATCAGGTTTTTTCCCTCCCTCCTGCCATTAGCATCTATAATCAACACCTGTGGTCTCACACGCGTGCCTGATGGCAGCACCTGGAGTGTGCTGTGTGTGTGCATATACAGACACACCTGAGCCGAGACACTAAGCATATAATGGCGCGGCAGCAGAGGAGAGAGCATGCGGCGGAGAACGGTGGGAGAGCGTCAGAGAACGGCTAAGAGAAGAAAGAGCGTAGGACTCGCAGGGGAGCCCAAGTTACTGTCTCCCCGCTGGCTTGTTTTCCCCTAACCTGTGGGGATGATGCCAAGGGCTCCAAGGTTCTCTTTCAAGCTGCTTGAACCGACAATGACCCTACCCAGCCTGGGACGGTTGCAGAACAGGTACCCAATGATATCTGGCGTCATTTTTGTTTACTGCCTTTCAAACTCTGTCCATATGTATATATTACACGCATTTGATGTACAAGCTATTTTATGTAGTTTTGCATAATATCACAAGTAGATGAGCAAGGTTAAATAGCAATTTTATCTAATGGCTGTGTTCTTGCATGTCACGGCTCAAACATTTGTCCAACCAGTCCTCTTTCACTGGACATGTAGAGGATGCTGGTGTTATTTCATTACTAGAAACAATGCTATGGTGGACATTTTCACATATGTAGCACCTCCTGTCTCAGACTGAAACAGGGGTGGCAGCCCAATGGGACAAACCATATGACTCCACAGCTTTTGTGGAATCTTGCCATCAACTTTCCAGATGGAGACTGATTAAAATGCCATCAGACAAGGTTTGATGGTGGTGATTTGTAAAGTGTGTCTCTTTTTGCCTAAAATTTGGGTTAGTTTGACAACAGCATGGATGCCAATAACTGCAGTTAATATTCTTGAGATCTGTTATGTGACAGGCATTCTATGAAGTATGTAGAAATACTGGTTCTAGTGGTTAAACTCTGACTTCACGGGTCAAGCCGAGGCTCCACCTCTTGACCTCTTTTTGCGTCCATTCTCTCCTAGCAAATGGCTCCCGGGGTAACTGTAAGGATCAGCATATGAGTTAGCGCAGTATTGAGCCTGGACCAGCACTGGATGGCATGGATTACTATTCCTAGCATGGGTGTTTTTATTAACCCCACTTTACAGATGAGAAAACTGAGATAAAGCTTATCACTTCCAGGTCACATAACTAGTGAGAGGTAGTGCTGGAATTCCAACCACAGATATCTTTTCTGACCGGGAAACTCACCTACCTTCCCTGTAGGGACCATATCTAGGGAGAAATGTCCTTGTTGGCACTCAGTTATATCTAGGCTGAATTAGGCACAGAAAACAAAATTAAGTGAAAGGTCAGTGCAATAACCTGTGTTGGGACTCATGGGTGCTGAGGGACCCCAAGTCTCCTCTATGCAGGAAAGAGTTTGTGCAGGAGTCTACAGATAAGTTAGAAAGGGAGATTTATTGTAGCAAGAGTGCACACTCAAGGAGAAGTGCAGACTTGAAGGAGAATCCTGCCTTGGGTCTGAAGGCTGCTGATAGTGTTACAGGGCAGCCCTGATATAAAACGGGTTGCCTGGCTGGGGGTCCTCACCCGAGCGCTTAAAAGGGACTTATTAATACTCCACTGCGGGCACACACAAAAGGTTAATACAAGGTTTTTTTTACAAAGGAAGGGGAAATGAGGAAATGTGCAACTCAGGGAGAAAATAGGGAAATAAAGTATTAAATGCATCCTACCTGATCCGCCGACCTGGAAACCCAATGGCACTCTGAGATCTGGCCACTAGCCAAGAGCCGTGAAACCAAAAAGCCCCCCCAAGACCCACATGTCTGGTTTTATACCAAACCTGGCTGCTTAACTCCACCCTCAGTTCCCAGCAACCTTCCTTTTGGTGGTGATGGGATTTGTCTTTCCCAATGGCGTGATGGCTTTGGTCTAGAGTGGGGGTGGAGTCCACAAAGCCTGTATGGAATTAGCTTAGCACATCCTTTTCCCCCTAACAATAGAAGAGCTTGCTTAGTTGGAGGGTACAGGGGTTCTCAGATGGGAAACTGAGTTGGTTTTAGCCATTTTTGTTTAACAAAAGGGACAGGACTTTACATATTGAGATCATGAGATTCGGCCAACTTTGTTCATCCAAAGCACCTCACCCATAACCTCCTGTTAGTCAGATAAGATAGAAGTTTTGCAGCTAGTGGCACCTGGCGTGACATAAAGTAATAGGGTTTGAGTCACTTTGTTCTAAAATGTGCATGGCTATTTTTCAGAAATACTGGATGGGACAAGTAGGGGCTGCAGGCATTGTGCTAAATTCCTGTTTTACCTCACCTGGAAATGCCATGTTTTCAAGACAAACAATAAAGTCAGGGTTTCAATGCTATGATTTTCTTCATCTTTGAGATCTGATGGTGTTTCTGTAAGGAAGTGCTTCACGGAATTGTGAAACACCCCCTAGATTATAAGGAATCCTGAGGTTCTCATTCAGAACCCCTGCCAATGCCTTTCTTGCCTCAGGAAGGTTCTCTATAAATTCTTACTGACCTGAATTTCTCCTAAACATTACCATAAACACTTTCAGTTATTTCTTAATGGACTCTGTTCATAACTGCTTAGTCAATTATTTTTATTAGCATAACATCCCTTTTAAGCATAATGATGTTGGAAAAACAGAAACAATGACAGTGTAAGCACATTTTCTCAGCTCTGGCTGATTGTATTTTCTCTTTCTTTTTTTGGGGGGTGAGGGAGACTTCCTTTGCAGACTTGATGAATTAATTGTAAATTTCCCAAGAGGGATCTAGCATTAACTGATCTTTGTCTTTCATTCTGTAATGTTTAGTTTCTATTCTAGTCCCAGTGACTACCCATTGAGACAGAAGTTTGAATATTGCCAAGGGCTCATAAAATTGCTGATGTAACCTACTTTCTCTAGAGAACCTGATTTCAATTTTCATAATGAATTAATGCCTTCTTTCTCCCCCAATCTCTTTGTTCCGATAGCTATTTGTGGAGACTACTGATGGCAATGGCAGAACTCTCGAGGGGCCAGTCCCTCTGGAAGTCATTGTGATTGATCAGAATGACAACAGACCGATCTTTCGAGAAGGCCCCTACATCGGCCATGTCATGGAAGGATCACCCACAGGTAAGTTAAACTGGCTCACCATTAGCATGATAGTTCAGAAAGTGGTGCCCAATTGTCTTTAGGGATTCTAGAGACTGTCTCATTGATGCTCCAACTTGTTATTTCCCTGGATAGAAGCAGGAGCTGGAAAGCTGCAACCCAGAGCATGACTGGGGTGCACTGAAAATATCTTCCCTGCCACTGAAGGTGATCCTTGAAGGGTGACCCACATTTCAGTCGCTGGTGCATGTCTGATGTTGGACACAAGGCAAATTTCTAGCTCACCTTGTGAGGGCCCAAGGTTGACCTTGGTGTATCGGGACTTTGAAGAAATTTAAGAACCTCTTTACATGCTTCTTGGTTATTTATTTTCATAATAGCTTTTAATAAGAATCATTTTTGGGGAAAATGGGTAGAACATTTTCCCCTTCTCAGATAGCTTGGAGAAATCTTTTTGTCTTCAGTCAAAGAGCCAAAGGCAAGACATTGTATTTCTCTCTGGAAATACACATGCCTATTATAATGGAAATCACTCAAGGCCACTAGGGAGCTCCTGTTATCTTGTCCCCACTTTTAACCTTTCTATCAGGGAAGAAAGGTTAACATTCAGAGCTCCCTTTTTTGGCCCAGTAGATACTAATTACAGCATTCCATCCCAGCAGAAGTCACTCCTGAGTATAATGTTTGAGAAAGTAAAGAACAAAGTAGAAAAATCCCAATTATAATACTGGACTTTGAGTTTAAGCTTGAAAATACATTTGAGGGGGGAAAGCGCCGTATAAATGCTATCACTGTTGCTATGTGTAGATTATGCCAAAACAAATAAGTAAAAGAGTCATTCAGCAGACCAGACAGGAGATGCAAGCCTGAGAACGGCTTTAACTGGTGTTTTTCCCCCTTTGGTGAATTGATGGGATGTATCAATAACATGTAGATACAGGAGGCTCTGGAAGTGTTGTCATGGTAACCTGCCTAGAGCTACCTGGTGAATAAATGTATGCAAGGTGCTGAAAACCTCTGTTCAGCTTCAAGGAGCTGGGTCTCTGTGCATGTCATAAGAAGGCCAGGGGCAGGAGCCACCTTCTTCAGTAGGGATTTGGATGCATTCTGTAAAAATCGAGAGGATCCTAGCTGCTGGATCACCAGGGAAGCCAATGTTCTGGGGAGTGGTTGGAGGTGGAGGACTGATGCAGGCCTGCAGAGATGAGGATTGGCAGGGGAAGGTGGGTCAGATCACTTCCCTATAAATCTCCCAAGGGCGCCGCCCAGGAGGCTGCTTTTGGAAAGAGGGCTTCTGGTCAGAGAGGTCCTGAAATTAGGGGTTGCAATTTACAGAACTCTTCTTAAACAAGCTGATGTGCAGAACAAGTTAGGAGAAGTGGAGTAGAAAGCTTTTACAGAGACTGGAGTTTGAGCAGAACAATGATTCCTGGTTTCCATCTGTGGAAGCGACTAGAGTGTGTGAGTGTGTGAGTGACTAGAATTCCAGATGTGCTGGAAAAGTGTTCTAAATGTAAATGACAATGGTTACATTTGAGACAGCTATGAGTTTGCGCGTGTCTTTGTATATTATGTGTGTATATGATTAGACAATGTCCAATTTTCCTCCCACCGTGTCCTTCCTTAAAGTTTCAAAAAGAATTTCAAATTTTATTGGTTTATATACATGCCATATTTTCAAAGAAAAATGGAATCCTTTATACACATTGAATTTCTTCAAGCTCAAAGCAATTCAGTTAGGGTGGACGCATCTCCAGCAAAACATAAACCACCTCAAAATTCTATTTATGATTGGTATTATTCTATAAAAATGCACAAAGACTCTGGCAGCTGTATGGAGCAGCTACCTCCAGTTATGCAGATTACAGCCTAAATCATTGTTTAATTTTTCAGCACCTCTGGGGCTAAAGCAGGAATTGGAGTCTGTCAAATTTTGGGGTCTTTCTTGAGTGAAAGTGTTAGGGGAAACTTTTAGAGGAAAAATCAAACCTTGACAACTGTAACAATGAGCTCCTCCCCTGTTTCCCTTGCTCATCAACAGTGCCCTAGACTTTGTACCAGATCCAGCCTACAGAGGGGATTGCTGACCCTGGAATGAGTGTGGTGACTCTCCCCAGTTCATACAAATAGTCGGGGAGGGACACTGTTCAGGACACACCTGTGTTATCTCCCTTCACGTCATGTGCTCTTCTGCCTGTCCCACAAGCAACTCTCACAGCGTTTAGTTGAGCACTTAGTGTGTGCTGAGAGCTGTGGATACACTATAGCAATGCTTCCACTCTCCCATTCCCTACCCTGAGGGTTGGGGTGCATCTTCCTCTTGTTACAGGTGAGAAAATGGCACCTGGAAGAGGCCCAGGAGCTTGACCAAAAAGGTTCCAGCCAGTGTATGAGCCAGATTCCGGGCCTGTCTCTGGCTTTAAGGCATGGGCTCTCTGGGGCACCACGTAGAAGGCAGCCACCTCTGTCTTCTTCCCCGTGGACTCTGCAGGCCTAGCTGGGGGTGGTATTTGTACATTTCTCTCAGATGAACTGACTTTGCTCTTAACAGAAAATGATCAGTTTTTCTGACCAAATAACCAGTGCCTGAATCACTTTTAATACAATGAGAGCTTTTGCTAGGGCTCTAGGGTTAAAATGTCAACCCCCCCAGGCCCTTGTCATCACTCACATCACTGTGTTCTGGGTCCACATAACCAGAGCCAGCTCTATGGTGACCTGTAGGTCATAGAGCACCCCCACTCAGGATCCCACCCTTGGTTTACATCTTAAAGCTCTTGATACATCATTCATAATTATTAATAAACACAAGGGTCCTTGTGTTTTCACTTTGCATTGAGTCTCACAATGATGTAGCTGGTCCCACACTAAACCCTGGGGCCTCAAGCTGGGTCGGATGCTTTTCTAGCTCCTTAGCAAGGTGAGACCTCAGGTAGTTTAGTGAAGCTTCTAGAAGTCTCATTTGCCTTGTCTATACATGACATGGGGCTGTAACCGTATCTATCCTAGAGAACCATTTGCAAATGAGACAATGAGCTTCACTCAGCGCTTAGAATATAATAAATGTTCAAGAAAGGCCAATGTGTCATTAATGCTGCAATCATTCTTATTATTCTGGTGTGTGCCCTGTAGGGAGGGTAAGGCAAAGAGACATGCAGTCACTGTGAATGAACATCCATCTCCCCACAAACCCAGCATCATTTCCATGTTCCCATGTACCTGGATGCCATCAGCTCCAATCCATCACAGAGGAAGGTCACCCATATTTATCTCTGTGTGCAGACAGGAGGCTATTCCTATCTGCTCAGCACTGAACCCCAGGGTATTGTTTTGGGGGATCGTTACTGGATGAAGGCAGATCAACAGAAAATAATGGTCTTTGAACTTTGTAGATTATGAGCTGTTCCTTTTGTAGCATCTCAGGCATTGATTTATGTGACCCAAGCCCAGGCTCTGGCTGCTCCATGGGCCCGGCAGAGCTCTGCGTGAGTCTGGTGTTTTTTGTGCCTAAAACATATTAAGTGTATATGAGGAGGGGGTGGGGACACACATGCCAAGCCCCACAGGACCTTGCTGGCACCAATTCCTGAGTGTCTTGCCAGCTGTAATCCTCTGTATGCATGTTTGAAAAGGGCTGACCATGAGCTATGACGGGCAGGACTGGCAGGGGCAGGCCCTGATATGAGGACTGAGGGCTGTGGCAAGCCTGGGAGGTACAGGGCCAAGGGGATGCATGCTGCAGGAAGGAAAGCCAGCAATTCAAGGCACTGCACCAAGCCAGCACCCAGAGTGGGCAGGGTGAGTTTGAGGCCTGGATGTGGTCCTCTAGGAAACAACATAAAAAACACATATTAGATATATTCCAGCCCGGAGGTCTGAGAACTGGGAGATCCATCCCTCACCACACCCCCAAGTCCTGCAGACATAAGTTACAAGCTGGCCAAGGAGACTTTAATTCCAGGGCACTTTTGGCCAGCTGTGAACAGGGCCTGTGTTCCAGAAAAGTCTTGCAGCAAGACTTAGGAGCTGTGTTCATCCCCCTATGCTTGGGCCACCCTGAATGTCAGCAGGGCAGCAGGGAGAAAGCCCCTCACCTCCTGCACAGGTGTGAGATGGCAGGGGAGGGAGGCCACTTGAGGAATCCCCATCCCCCAACTCTGTGACACTGTGCCTTCTCTTTAGAGAGCGACATTGACCTTGCTGTTTAGATGCAGGCCGGATTTAGAGGAGCAGGTTCTTATTCATGAGCAATGCCCCTTGTTAGATGTGTGCTGACACTTCCTTGGTCTGAGGAAGAAGCAGAGGGAGTAGCAGCTAAATCCTATCTTCTAGCTTCTGGAAGCCCAAGGACCCTACCTTCTTGGCTTCCTCTCTTGCTCCCTTCATTTTTTTCCCATCCAATATTGCTAAGCATCTGCTTTGTGCCAGCACAATTCTACACGCAAAGGTACAGCTGTGAACCTGGTAAGCAGCCGAGCAGGGAGACTGGTAACCGAGACAGATGCACATCAGAAGGGAGATGTGGTGAGTCCACAGTGAAGCCACATCCCTGCCCCTAGGAGGAGGGACGGCAATGACCTCCCTGAAGAGGTGACATGAGGAAGTCAGAGGTTTTGTCTTTTATTTTTCCTCTGGGGCCCGCCTGAGTTTCTGGCCTGCAAGACACAGTTACTTTAATTTTTAAACAATTCTTGTCATGTCAGACCTTAGGAACAACAGCCAATCAGGTGGCCTTTGGGACAATTGACTCTCTCTATGGCTCAGTTTTCCTTGACAGTCACTGTTTTCCGAAACAGCTTAGGCTCAATCAAGATTTTTTTTTTTTTTTGATATCTGGTGTTTGATATTTTTGAGACCTCACTCACAGAAAGTCCTCCACTTGATGTGACCCATAAATTCCCTTTTCCTGTCACCTGTCTATTTGTTGTAATAGCAGTGTGACTTTCAGTCCACCAACTATCCAGTTTTCCTGTGCTGGTATTTTTGGACATTCACATTAAAGTTTTTTTCCATTCACAACT